TTGTTGGTTTGTTGTCCCTGGTACCTTTAGCCTTCACCTCACATTTTGTTTATTAAAAATCAGAGCGAATAAAAACACCATAATAGTGACTCTTGTTTAGTCAGCCAGGAGAGCATAGTACAGTTAAGCTCTTCAGTTTAACTGTCACATGTTTTAATGAGAAATATTTGGCACCATCTTTCTGAACTTTTTATTTTTTGCATTTCTTTTTAGGTGTTGGATCCCAGAACTCGAATGATTTTATTCAAGATGTTGACTAGAGGAATTATATCAGAGATAAATGGCTGCATTAGCACAGGAAAAGAAGTGAGCTTTTCTTTGGATGACTAAATGTTTTCATGTTAGTTTTCTTATTTCAGATACCAAATATAACTAAGGCACTTAGTAAATAAACTGTGCCTTTAAAAAGAGGAACCCATACACAGAGCAGGACACAGTTTAATGCAATATTTCTGAAACTGGCTTCATTAACGTTTGTAGCTAGATAGGAAGTTGTGCACATAACCATGCCTTTTCACTACCATTACTACATAGTATCATTGAGTCTAACTAGTTGTGCCCAGCAGTAAGCTTAGATGGCCAGATTATTGCAGGTCTGTGTCCTAATCAGAAAAGTACTAATGTAGGTGGGGGCTTATGGTCTCATCTCTATGAGTCAGCAAGTCTTTGTCATTTTTTTCTTTATATGTAGATACACAGAAGGACAGACATGGTGTTTTTTTAATTAGCAGCTTATTCTGTGGGAAGCAATTGTCAGTAAAATTCAATTTACAAATCACTAGATGTAAGAATATCTTTAAATATTTTCCGTATATTTCAGATATAAAAAAGTTCAAAATCACTTCTCCTGTATATTTCAGTTGGATCTTACTATATTTGTATATTGGAGACATATTTACTGTACCTTTTGATATGATGTTTCATATTTTAATTCACATCTTCAAAAGATAGTGGTATTCTTTATGCATGTTATTTCAGTTCATCTGAGTTTTGAGGTTGGAATCAAATAGAAAAAGTAAAACA